CTATATCTGTTAATCTTCGTCCCGGCAGCCGCCCCGGTAACACTCAAAGACGAGATAGATAGCTGTGTTAGTTTGTACAGGGAAGTTACAACACTCACACTGTGCTCTCTGGCGTACCGCTAAAAAAAAATAATTCTTTATATACGATACTAGTCGACCCTGATGATTCAATGGCTAAATAGTTAATCTCACTGTTTCACCTATGGTTTCACCTGTGATGCTTAAGTTACAAGTGTACACGTTAAACTGTGACTCAGACTCCGCGACTGTAAACAACGAAGTTGAAAATGGCGGGAAAATTTCGCCTATGCTATGTTAGACATTTCCAGCTTAATTGTTAACTAATTATGTAAATAGTGATTTTACTTAGACTAGGGATGTTTTAGCTATAGGTTTAGTAGATAAGTTTTTTGTTAGTAAACAATAATTTATGGACAATTAGATTATTTGACCACTTAGCTACACGTGACGAATCGTAGACTGAGGCCGGATGACCGAAACCGGAGCTCTCCCAAAACACGTCTGTTCGCGGCAAGCACAACTACCAACTCTGAACATGGAAGCCAAATGGGAATAAATAAAGCTTTTCAGAAGGCTAGTAGTAGGTATTATTGGTATGGGATGGGATCTGATCTAACAAAAACCTATATACAGTAAACTATATAATAAACAGTTATTATTCTTAAAATAGCATCTTAAAGTCGTTTTCGGCCCACTCATGGTTCCTAGATGTAGACTGAGTCCATACTATCAGTTCCTAATATTATAACATACATGTTCTTTAGCTCTTGAATCTATCGTGTGACAGAACTAAATTGTTTGTGTCAACCGATGTAGATAGAGAAAATAGAGGGGAAATAATAGTAGGGATATATGTTAAAGTAACAGAAAAATTAAATAAATAAGCAAGCAAATAAATGAATAAGTAAATAAATAAATACTTATGAAAATAAATAAATTACTATATCTGCAATATTTTATTCAGACAGCACAGATTTGTCATCTATATTGATATACGTATGTGCTGAACTACCACTAATATAGGTAGTATTATTTATCGACCCAAGTTGTGTTTCTGTAAATTTAGTACGACATGACATTATCCTCATACAGGATCGCCTTATATCACTATGAATTACTCACTTCGCAAAAATTTCGCAAATAAATAGGTCCATATGATTCTGAAACCGTCCAATCTGGGGAAAAAATCCCAGGATAGGAATACTGAGAAGCATGGATTAAATAAAAATAATAAATCATACAATTATAATATGAAAAAATAACATTAAACGAGG